GTATCTACCGTGTACTGTGTTCTTAGAACCAAGAGAATCGTAAGGAAGAGAAAGGGCGTTTTGAGTCCCATGCTGTCTTTACTGAGAAACATCCGCCGGTGTGTGGACCCGCACTGTTCAAGGGTCAGCTACAGCCCAGTTACCTTTCCTTTTTTATTTTAATTTTATTTATTTATTTGTGGCGGGGAGGGGCAGAGGGAGAGGGAGAATCCCGAGCAGGCTCCTCGCTCAGTGCAGAGCCTGATGCGGGGCTCGATCTCACGGCCCTGAGGTCATGAAGGAAGCCGAAATCACGAGTCTGAGACTTTTTTTTTTTTTTGAGATTTTATTTATTTGAGAGAGAGAGCGTGTGAGCAAGAGGGTATGAGTGAGGGGCAGAGGGAGAAGCAGGCTTGCCGTGGAGCAGGGAGCCCGATGTGGGGCTCGATCCCAGGACCCCAGGATCACAACCTGAGCCGAAGGGAGACGCTTGACCGACTGAGCCGCCCAGGGGGTCCCAGCTCAGTTACGGTTACTGCTAAAGTTATTCACGCAGTCGCTGAATTCAGCTGCAGGGACGGACCGTGGTGTGTCCATTCACCAGCCGCTGGGCATCCGGGCTGTGTGCGGTTTCCAGGCTGCCATGTGCGCTGGGGCACGAGTCTGTGTGGACACACACGGTTCCTTTCCTCTTGGACAAATATCTGGGAGCGGACCCTTGGAATTGGGGGTAACTCTGACATTTGACAGTTTAAGAAAGCGCCAGCCTGGGGCGCCTGGTTGGCTCAGTCGGCTGGGCGTCTGCCTTCGGCTCAGGTCATGATCCCAGGGTCCTGGGACCGAGCCGTGAATCGGGCTCCCTGCTCGGCGGGAAGCCTGCTTCTTGCTCTGCTGCGCCCCTCACTCATGCTCTGTCAAATAAATAAAATCTTTTAAAAAAAGAAAGAAAGCAAGCGTCAGCCTGCTTTGCAGTGCATCCGCACCCGCCTGCCCGCGTACTGGCCTCGCGGCTGCACTGCTCCCCGCTCCCCCCATCTCTGGGAGAGTCTGCCCACAGCTGCTATTCCTTCTGAAATGTCTGGGGGTCTTCCCTTTGGGGAGAGGTTTTCAGGGGCTCATTCTGTGCTTGCGTGTGTTCCGAGCGTCTCCTTCGGGAGTCAGTCCCGCCGGTTTGCGTCTTCCCAGGACATCATCCCTTCATCTAAGCCGTCCCAGTTTGTTGGCATGAAACTGTTGAAATTCTTTCATCTTTAGGGTCCGCAGTGACGGTCCCGCCTTCGCTGCTGATTTTGTGGCCTGTGTCTCTTCCGTGGGCGGCGGGTTCTGGGTGTCCCCCCCCACGCCCGGGCTCACGAGGTCCCGCTGTCCCCTTGTGGGCTTCCTTCTCTGCTTGGGGTGGGTTTGTTCCCCACTGTCTGGACGCCTGAGGCGGGAGCTCCCCTGGCTGATTCCCAGGCTTTGCCTCGTGGATTTGCCACGTTTGCTTCTAACGGCGCCTCTTTCCTTGTGGCGGGTGGTGTTTCCATTTTCAGGCCAGCTGGGATCTTTTCTCCTTTGCCGCGCGTTCCTCCCCCCGTGGGTTGCCTCGAAGTGTGTTCGTTTCCAGACATTTGGGGATTTCTCAGATTTCCTCTGGTTGTGGATGGCTAATTCCCCTGGAGAGCGTGGTCTGGCTGACGTCAGCCCTGGTCGTGCGTTCACCTGGGGACCGTCCCGTGTGCGTGTGGAGGGTTCGGTCAGGCCGGCGGTGACGGGTGGGCCGCGGTCTGTGCGCCGCTCTGCCAGCCTTCGAGAACAGTCCGGAAGCTCCAGCTCTGGTGGTCCGGCTGTCTCTCTCTCCCTCAACGCTCAGTTTCTGCTTCGCATATCTGGGGAGCCCGTTGCCAGGTGCGTGCTCATCCATGACTATTCCCCGTTGCCGGCGCACGGCCCCCTGAGCCCAGGAAATGTGCATCTCCAGTGAGGGCCGGATCCTGACACCCGTCGGGTCGGATTCACGCCGTCTCTGCAGGCTGTGCCTTCCTCATCCCCCGCGGCCACTCCCGCGGTGTGGGTGGATGTCAGGCAGTGGCCTGCGTCCTTCCCGGGGCATCGTGGCCAGAGGCCTGCCACCGCTGTCCCCTCCAAGTGGCTCTCCCCGGGGGACACCGCGAGGCTCTGCGCACACCCTGTGTCTTCTCCCTGTCGCCCCAGGCCGTCGTGCTGGGGGTGCGGGTTCTCCCCGCGCACGGCTGCGGCCCAGGTGTTTGCTGGTGGTGCTTTTCCGCGTCCATGACCGCGTCTGCGTCCGCCCGCTGGATTCTGCGAGGAAGCGCGGTCCCTTTCCGTTCCTCCGCTCACGCAGTTGGGTAACTCTGTCTTTGTGGCCGAGGGTATGTACGTTACGCAGTATGCGTACGATGTTGTGGCTCGTGCCGTCCCAGGTTTGGCCATCCTGCATCCTCCTGACGCTTCCCCGTCGCACTTGGAGCGTTTCTTTACTTGCTGGCCCCACGAGACACTCCCAGCTCGTCTTGTCCTTTCCCCGCTCCGGCCCCGGGCTCCGCCGCGTCTCCAGGGAGCTGGTCCCGTTTGTTGGTGTGGGATGTAGACCCCAAGCTCTGGGCGCTGGGCGTCCCCTCGCCGCCGGGCTGCCCATGTGTGGAGCCGCAGGATGGTCCCCATGCCTCTGCTCCAGGCCAGCACCCCGGAATCCGCACCCCTCCCACACTTGACACCCTGTGCCCTCGGCAGGGGACCCCAGCTCGCACCGTCCACCACACGCCTGCTCCGTGGCACCGCCCGGAGCGCACGACTCTGCTCAGGAGCCACACAGAGGAAGTGCGGGGCTGCGGCCCCTCCGGGGAGTGGGGTCCTCCTGCGGGATGTGTCCTTCTGGGTCTGGCTCCTCTCGCTGAGCCCGGTGTCCTCGGGGTCCCTCTGAGTTGTGGCAGGTGTCAGGGCCCCTTCCTTCCTGAGGCTGGAGCGTGTTCCCGCGTGGGGACGGAAGGACAGGTTGTGTGTGTCCTTCATCCACGGACACGGGTGCGTCCCCCTTGTGGCCGCTGTGACTCGCGCTCTGTGAACACAGGTGTGCAGGCCGTGTGGACGCGTGCGCTCGTTTCTCCCGCATGTGCACCAGGCGTGAGCTGCTGGGTCACGCGGCCGCTCGGGCCGGGCCGGCAGAGGAGCTGCCAGACGGTTCCCACAGCGGCCGCGTACCTCGCGCTCCCGCCGGCCTCGCCACGGGCCCTGCTCGCTCCGCATCCGTGTGGCCTCTCGTCACGGTCTGCATGGCTCATCCCAGCCCTCTGCGTGGGGTGAGGCGGCGTCCGCCGGGGGCAGATCGGGGCTCGGAGAAGACCGGGTGGCCAGCCAGGCGGGGAGGGGCCGGAGGCGCGAGGGCTGTGAGCAGAGGGCCCCGGGGGTGCAGATGCCTCTCAGACACGGCAGTCTTGCGGGGGACGTGGGGGCTGGCAGCCTCTTACTGCGGCGCTGGAACCCATTTTCTGGCGAGAGAGTGAGGTGCTTCCCCCGAGCTGGAGAGGACCCGGAAGGCGCTTTATCTAAGGAGCGCGTGTGGGGGTGCAGTGAGGGTCTGGGGCCGCCGAGGATGCGGGTGAGGCTGGCCGCGCTTGGGGCAGGGCCACAGAGGCGTTTCCTGTCCCCGTCCTGGGGCCAGACGTCCAAGGCCGACGTCTCATGGAGGCTCCGGGGACGGTCCTTCCTGCCTCTCCCAGCTCCTGGGGCTCCAGGCGTCCCCAGGCTCGTGGCTGCGCCCCTCCCACGTCTGTATCTGTCGCCACGTGGCTTCTCCCTGTGTCTGTGCCCAGAGTCCCCTCATGAGGACACCAGCGTGGGACTAGGGCCACCCTGCACCCATATGACCTCACGTGAACCAGTCACGTCTACGAACACCATTTCCAAGTGAGGTCCCATTCCGGCTTTCCGGGTGGACATGACTTCTGGGGGAGGCTGTCCTCCCCACTCGGATTCCCATCTGGTCCCCTGTCTCGGGTCTGGTCCCCAAACATGCTCAAGCCCCGTGCACACGGCGGCCCGAACCAGGGCCTGGGAGGCACGCCCCTGGATGGCGGGGAAGGTAGGAGCTGGGGAAGGAGGTCCTTCTCCCCGTTAACAGTTGGGGGCTTCCCAGCCTGGGGTTCGCTGGGAGCCGTGGGCAGGCTGGGAAGGAGAATGTGGGGGCCGCTCTGAGCCCCGCGTGTGTCACGATGGGGACCCCAGGAGGGGGTGTGACACAGGGCCTTGCGGACCTGGGGACGGGTGCTCTGCGGCAGACAGGCTGCGGGGTGAGCCCTGGAGACTGCGGGTGGACAGCACAGAGCACAGAGCAGGCGGCCCCCATGGAGTGCTCCGGCCGGGGGGAGGTTGCAGCTGGCTCGAAGGAAGGCTGGGGGGGCGCCTCACTTCTTGTCCTCGCCCCCGGGGCCTTCCTGTCCTTGCGCTGAGAAGTCACGGGCAGGTGGGTCCCGCATGGTCATATCACTCCGGATGAACCCTTCGGCCTCACGGCTACCACCTCCTAACGCTCCCCTGTGCTCCTACCATTCCCCAGGCCCTGATGCCCTTCCCTGCGGCCTCAGCCCCGCTCCAGTGTCCCTGCCAAGCCTTCCCTGACTCTCACTCCCATCACAGGCTTATGTGCTTCCTGCCCCACAGTCAGGCTGTCCATGCACTGGACCTGCACCTGCCTCCCTCCAGGACGGCCAGGACCCTAGCGCCCACAGCCTGAGCACGGGTGGGGGGGGGGGGGTGTGGGGGGGAACAGCCACAGCCTGAGCCCGGGGGGTGTGTGCATGGGGGGACACGGGGGACCTGCTGTTGCTGGGCCGGCTGCATAGCCTCCCTCCTGGAAGCATCTGCCACTAGGATATTCTGGGCCAGCATCTGCTGGGGCGCCGGCCGGAGCCGCTCCCCAGCACCTCCTGTGGGGACACGTGGGGCCCCGACAGCCCCCAGACTGGGGTGCTGGGAACAGGTGGGGCCGCATGGAGGGTAACCGGGCTCTTCTCTGATGCCAGGTTCGTGCTGGCCGTGGGCAGTGCCGTCTTCGACGCCATGTTCAACGGGGGGATGGCCACCACATCCACCGAGATCGAGCTGCCCGACGTGGAGCCGGCCGCCTTCCTGGCGCTGCTCAAGTAAGACTTCTAGATCTTTCCCGGAGGCCCCCACCCCGTGTTCATTTTTGTATGTTTTTAACTGAGACGTAATTTCCAGACGGGACAGTCCACCCACTGGCGGCACACACTTCAGTGGTTTGTAACGTGTCTGCAGCGTTGGCAACTGATTCCACTCCCCGTCACCCCACTCCCCTCCCCCGGCCCCCCACGAGCCCCCTTCCCGTCCGTGGATGAGCCCGTTCCGGACGTGTCACCCACGTGGACGCACACCCCGCGTGGCCTTCTGTGTCCCTGAGTGTCGTGGGCTCGGGGTCCGTCCCCGGGGCCGTGCGTGCGACTGCCCGTTCTCACCGTTGTGGTCAACGGGTTGTGGAGGAAGTAAGATAATGTGAGAATGTTCAATACCAGCTCTAGTTTTTCCTTCTTGAGCCTCCAAATTCCCTCAAGTGCGTTAGCATCAGAGCGGTGAGCACCCAGGGTGGGGGCTGCGCCCTCCGGGCAGGGGGGAAGCGAGGCTGTGGGCTGGCCCGGCTCTTCCCCTCCGCTGAGCACAGGCCTCTCGCTTCCAGAAACACCGGGTGTGAATCATGGTGGGGAACTTTACAGACTGTTCCAAACAGTTAACATTTCTTTTTAAATGCAGAGTTTATTTTTTCTCTTTGATTATAAAGATGGCACAGACTTACAGGGGGAGAGAGAGAGGAAGGAAGGAAGGAAAGGAAACAAAGGAAAGTTGCAGCGAGCGTGAAGGACGGGAGGAGCCGCCCCCTGCCGTGTCCGAGGCGCGTGGGTGCTCCCCTCCCCCGGCGTCCGCAGCTCCCTGGCAGGCGGGGCTTTGTTCCCCTTGGTCCCGTCCGCGGACGCCCCTTAATGCTTGGCGCTGTCTGATACGCTTGGACGCTTGGTCCTGTGCGCCGCTCCCAGCGTCTTCCCGAGGACAGGTAGCACTTCGGGGAACAATCTCATGCATTTGTCATCGTGTAACTTCTCAGATTGCTAAGACCAGGGGCGGATGGGCTCCGTCCCCACCACTCACCCTGCGGCTGGTATTGTAAAAGCAGCCAGACTATTTGTAAACAATCGGGGAGGGGAGGCTGGGTGCCACTAAAACTTCATGTACCAGAACAGGTGACCAAACCATGATGAGCTATCACTTCATACCCACCTGGGCAACTATTATGAAAAACAGAGAAAAAGCAAAAGAAGATAACCAGAATCAGTGAGGAGTGGGGGATTGGGACCCCCGTGCGGGGCCAGTGGGGGTGGGGGACGTGGCCACCTCCGCGGGACAGGAGTGAGGCCCCTCGAGGTTTAAACGTGGACTCCCCGCGTGACCCAGCAATTCCGTCGCTGGATGTCTCTGTGAGAACTGAGAGCAGGGACTCAAACAGGTAGCCGCGCACCCGTGTTCACAGCAGCACGATCCTCACGGGACAGACACAACTCAAGTGTCCACCCATGGGTGCAGGATAAACACCATGTGTCCATCTACACGCTAGACTGTTAACATGGACGGGCCCCGAGGACACCGGGCTCAGTGACAGGAGCCAGACCCCGAAGGACACATCCCGCAGGAGGACCCCACTCCCAGGAGGTCCCCGGAGGAGTCCCGTCCACACAGACAGAGAGGAGAGGGTGGGAGCCGGGGCTGGGGCCGGGGGTGGGGAGTCTGTGCTTCACGGGGACAGAGTCTCCGTGTGGGGAGATGGAACGTTCTGGAGACGGAGGGTGGGGGTGGTCGCAGGACAGGGTGGGTGTGTCTCATGCCGCTGAAGCGCATGCCTAAAAATGCTTACAGTGGTATTATTTATGCTGTGCATGTATTTTTTAAAGTTTTATTTAAGTAATTTCCAGCCCCGATGTAGGGCTTGAACTCACAACCCTGAGATCGAGAGTTGCATGCTCTTCCGACTGAGCCGGCCAGGCGCCCCCTTGTTGTGTGTAGTTTATTGTTAACTTTAAAAAAATAAATAAAAGATGTTCATGAGAAGACAAACAGGTGACGGGTTGCAGTTGGCCAAAACTCTGGCTTAGACTGAACTCAGGTGGGACGCTGGCTTCCGGCTTCCGGCTCCCGGTTCCCATCACTCCCGCTGAGCTGCTGCCCGCAGGGCTGACGCTGTCCTCCCCGCTGGTGTGTTAAGCGGCCGACCCCGTCACAGGTGCGCCCACTGCACTGCTGACCTCGGGGCCGGGGTCTCCCTGACCCCACAGGATTACAGCTGCTGATGTGTGAGGCTGGGTGGGGCTTCCAGCACATTCTCGGGAGACCCCGGACACGGGCAGACCCCGAACTCGGGCACAGCCTTCTGGGCCTTGCTTTTCGTGCTGCATCCCGCCGGCTTCGGCCCAGGGTTCTCATCTCTCGACCGCCTTCTTCTGTAAAATTGACCGTACCTCCACGTTCCGAGTGCGGGGATGGTGGTGGTCATAGTGCCTGGTTCAGGCTGGCCTTCCTGGTCCTGCGACGCGCCCCGAACTCGCTGAGCCTTGCAGCCACGTGGACGGCCGTCCCACGGCAGATCCCACGCAGCTGCCTCCAGGGGAGTCGGGGGGCCTTCCGCGTTGGTGCCCTGGCACGGGGCCGTCACACCAGGAAGGAAGGGGCCCGCCGCATAGACCCGTGTTTCGGTGGTGGAGTGTGGGTGGGATAGTTTCTGGCTGGTCTTGGTGGGTACTGGTCTTTGCCAGGTCATAGGGCAACGGACGCTGGTTCTGGAAGGCTCCTGGGGCTGGGCTGGGCGGGGCAGGGGCGGGAGTGATGTCTGCCAGCCGGGTCTGACGGTCCTAGCATCCTGTCTTAGGTTTCTCTACTCGGATGAGGTTCAGATCGGACCCGAGACGGTCATGACCACGCTGTACACAGCCAAGAAGTACGCGGTGCCCGCGCTCGAGGCCCACTGCGTGGAATTCCTGAAGAAGAACCTCCGGGCTGACAATGCGTTCATGCTGCTGACGCAGGTGCGCGGGGGCGGGCCGAGGACGCGGGGGATGGCGAGGGTGCGTTTGGGCGGGGACGCTGGGACCAGGCGAGGACGCCAGTGTGGGGGGGGGGGGGGGGGGGGGGGTAGGCCCACGTGTGCGGCTGGGGCGCGGGGCAAGGACGAAGGCGGGGCAGGTAAGGGCGAGGTGCGCGAGGCGATTAGGGCGGATGCGGGGCGGGGGCGGGGCAAGGACAGGGGTGCTGGGACGGCGGGGGAGGGCAAGTGAGGTCAATGGGACCAGGCGAAGACGAAGGCGCGCGGGGCCGGGCGAGGGGCGGGTGCTCCGGAGAGGGGACCGGTGCGCAGCGGCCGGACGAGGGCGTGGCGCCCGGCGAGGACGCGGGTGCGCCGGGTGAGGACGCGGGTGCACGGGGGCTGGGGGCGCGAGGCCGGTGAGAACGTGGGGGTGCGGGTGCGGGGCGAGGGTACGGGTGCGAGGGGTCCGGCGGAGGCCTGGGGCGGGGGGACCAGGTGAGGATGGAGGGGCGCAGGGACCCGGCGGTGACGCGGGTATGGGGCTGGCGCGCAGGGGGAGGGGTGAGTGCGGGGGCGGGGCAAGCACGAAGAGTGGATGGGACGGTGGCTGCGGAAGGCAAGGGCCGGCTGCGCACGGGTTAGGCGACGACGCGGGGCCGGGCGAGGAAGCAGGCGCGCTGTGCGGGTGGGTTAGGGCGCGGATGCCGTGGAGGGCGGGGCGGGGACCCTGGTGTGCTCGTGGGGAGGGCAGGTGGGGGCGCTGGGACCCTGCGAGCCTAAGGCGCGCGGGGGCCCGGGTGAAGGACGCGGGTGGGTGCGGGGCGAGGAGGAGGGTGTTGCGGGGGGGGATGGCAGGGAGAGAACGCGGGCGCGCGCGGGTAGCGGGAGGGCCTGAGACAGACGGGGGTGGATCTCTATGAGTGTTTGATGTCTCTTAAATTTTGCGACACAGTGAGAGCTTCCCTCCCCTCTCCTCCCCTCCCCTTCCCTCATCCCAACCTGGTTCTTTTCAGCAGAGCGCCTGGCCCTTGTTTAGCTAAAGATTTCCCGCCTGCGTTTTGACGCTCTTTTTCAGGGGTCAGGTGTGGGGAGAAAGTTATCATGACGCTTCTTGGAGTGGGTCCCTTTCAGGCTCTGTGGTCCCAGGCATGGGGGTGGGGCTGGCGTGGCCACGGGGACTGGAGGCAGGGAAGGATGTGGACACGGGCGGGTAGGGGACAGGGCCGCCCTGGGGATGGGGGGTGTGACCGGGCCAGAGCCGGGCCTGTTGTGTGGCACGGAGAGCCGTGGCCGCGGGGGTTGTGCTGGCCAGGCCCCGGGCAGGGAGTGCCCGTAGAGGGTGTAAGGGTTGTGCTGGCCAGGAGTCGCCTGGGCGAGGGAGCTAGAATCTTCTCGGCTCCGGGTTCCTGCACCCTGCGTGCAGGTTCCTGGTGGAGCAATTTCTGGTGGGCAGAAGTGCACGGCTCCCCTGTCCGCCGGCCTCGCGTGGCCCCCTGCCCGGGGCCTCCTGCCTTCCCGCGGGGGGCCTGTCCTGTCCGCGGACCCCGTGTCTGGCTGTGGAGGTGCGGGCCCTGTGGCGCCTGGGCTCCGGGCCGCGGCTCCCGAGTCTGTGTGGGCTCCACGGCCCGCGCCGCATGAAATTCATGACGAGGTGTGACCCGAGGGGCGTCCGGGGCCCCTGCCTCAGGCCGTGGGTTGACGCACGCCCTCTCGCCAGGCGCGACTCTTCGACGAGCCTCAGCTGGCCAGCCTGTGCCTGGAAAACATCGACAAGAACACAGCCGACGCCATCACCGCCGAGGGCTTCACCGACATCGACCTGGGTAAGGCCCTGGGGCGCAGGGGCGCGCAGCTGCCGTGGCGGGGGGGGGGCTGAGAGCCCGCGAGGCCGCTGAGCTGGTCCCGTCCCCGCAGACACGCTGGTGGCCGTGTTAGAGCGGGACACCCTGGGCATCCGGGAGGTGCGCCTGTTTAGCGCCGTCGTCCGCTGGTCCGAGGCCGAGTGTCAGCGGCAGCAGCTGCCCGTGACCCCCGAGAACAAGCGCAAGGTGCTGGGCAAGGCGCTCGCCCTCATCCGCTTCCCGCTCATGACCATCGAGGAGTTTGCCGCAGGTAACGGTCAGGGGGCGGGGACCGCTCGGCAGGAGCACCACCCCCAGGGACCCCAGGTGTGACCCCGAGCCAGCTGTGGGCAGCGCGGGTGGGCCTCTCTGCCGAGGATGCCCTTGCCGTGTCGCGTGGACAGCGTGGAGCGCGTGTCCGTGTGTAAAGACCCAACGCCCCACAGACGCCACCCGACGGGCGCCTGGGTTCCCTTTCCTCCGTGTCCGAGTGTCTGTGCGCGCGCTGGGCTCCCACAGGCCCCCGGCTTGGGTTCACGTCCTGGGGGCCAGGCTCTGGCTTCAGCATCCTCGACAAGCCTGTGTGGGCTGGGAGGTGGCCGGGCCCCGGGCCAAGGTGGGGGCAGCCCCGACTGTGCTTCCTGCTCTGTGTGGACGCAGTGCTGCCGGCCTCCTCTCCGGGCTCCGGGGCTGGTGGGTCCCGGGGAACGCCCCCTTGGGTTGCCAGATTGAGCAGCAGCGGTAAAGAACTGTTTGGCACGGCTGTCTCCCACGCGCTAGCCGGGACGCACTTCTGCAGAGCAGTTGTCTCTGACGGGAAGTTCAGGTCCGGCTGTTCCGTCCGTGCCCGGATCGCGCATTCATCGAACGCGTAGTGAGTGCCTCTCGTGTGCGGGGACCACGGGGGCCTGGGCGCTACGGACCGGGGCCAGGTGGTTGTCAGGGGGCCAGGAGCACCGATGTCCCCAGATGTGGCCCAGGGGGCCCGGGGGCACCAGGCTGTGACAGAGCCGCTCTGTCCCGTCCCCACACCCACGGCAGTCTTGCTGGGCCCCTCCCTCCCCAGCCTGGCTTGCACCCCCAAAACCGCTCTCCCGGGGGTCCCCCTGCCCACGGGGACGCTCAACCCCCTGGGGCCCCAAGCCCTGCAGGTGCCATCCGCTCACCCTTGGTGTGGAGCCTCTGCTGCTTCCTGTGCCCCCCACTGCCCCTTAGTCCTCCTGTGAGGGTCCCCCCAGGCCGCCCTTGCTCTGCCCGAGGTCACTGGGAATGACCCCGTGTGTGTCCTCTGGGGTCGGGCTTTCTGGCCCTTCGTCACTCAGCATGTTTTAGAGAACGCCCCTGCTTCTGTGTCCCACTGGAAAATACCAGACGAGAGAGAAGTTGGAAAAAACTCCGCCCAGCTGAGTGCGCCACGGCCGCGGTCTGATGTATTTTTCTTTCTGCATTTTCTATGCAGAGATTAAAGAGAACCATGGTTAACACTCTGTATTCCACTTTGTATCTTCCTTACTCACCAAGAGCTGTCCCCACGGGTCCCTCGGGGCCACCCTGTCCTGAGCCCCGGGCTGTTACCAGCCTGCAGAGGCCAGCTCCTAGCGCTCGCCACCCCCTCTGCCTCTGGGTTGCCCCCTCCCGGATCCCCCCTCCGGATCAGGGCCTGTCTCGCGAGTCCCCCCTTGGCAGCTGACTGCTCCTCCTGAGCCTGGGCAGGGCAGCCGCTCCCCCCCATCGCCCCCCCCGGGCCGCTGCTTGCCCGGCGACCTGGGGCCGGGAGGGGCATGTTGCCCCGGGAGCCAGTGAATCGGACACCCCCCCAAGTGCCAGGGCCGGGCTGTCCTGCCCCAGGGTCGCCCGGTTCCCCCCCCCCCCGGCCCCGGGCGTCCTCACCTGAGAAGCCCGTGCGGTGCCCTCGGAGGCTCATGGCCGCCTTCCCTGCCCACCCTCCCCAGCCGCCAGGCCGGCCCCCACTGCAGCCCGACCTCCGCCCCCTGTGCCCGCAGGGCCCGCGCAGTCAGGCATCCTCGTGGACCGCGAGGTGGTCAGCCTCTTCCTGCACTTCACCGTCAACCCCAAGCCGCGTGTTGACTTCATCGACCGGCCACGCTGCTGCCTCCGGGGAAAGGAGTGCAGCATCAACCGCTTCCAGCAGGTGGAGAGCCGCTGGGGCTACAGTGGCACCAGCGACCGCATCAGGTGGGCCCCTGGGCGTGGGGGTGGGGGAGTTGGGGAGCCGGCCGGGCACAGGAGGGGGTGGGGGCCGGCGGGGGTGGGGTGGGGGCCCCGGCGGGAGGGTGGGAGCCGCGACGCTCAGCCTCGGTTTAGCACCTCCTCTGTCCGCGGCTCAGGTTCTCAGTCAACAAGCGCATCTTCGTGGTTGGCTTCGGGCTCTACGGCTCCATCCACGGGCCCACGGATTACCAAGTGAACATCCAGGTGCCCACCCCGTGTCCTGCCCCCCATCAGCCTGCTCGTGGGTCGGTCACAGGCTGGATTCCGTGCGGCTCGCCCTCCGTGGGGTCCTGCGGTGGGGGGGCGCGGGGGGCCCTGGTGAGCAGCGCCCGCTCCCGCCCCCACAGATCATCCACACGGACAGCAACACTGTCCTGGGCCAGAATGACACAGGCTTCAGCTGTGACGGCTCCGCCAGCACCTTCCGGGTCATGTTCAAAGAGCCGGTGGAGGTGCTGCCCAACGTCAACTACACGGCCTGCGCCACGCTCAAGGTGTGCCTCTCCCCGACCCCCGACCCCGTCAGGCCCCCGACCCGCAGTCGTGGGGCGTAGGGCACGGCCATCGCCACAGGGGGGCTGCCACCCCAAGGCCCCCAGTAGGACACTCTCAGGAGGGGCTCTGCCGCCCCCCGCCCTGCTGGGGCCCCGGGGTGCCTGACTTCTGGGTCCCCGTCCCCCCTCCCCCAGGGCCCGGACTCCCACTACGGCACCAAGGGCCTGCGCAAGGTGACCCACGAGTCCCCCACGACGGGGGCCAAGACGTGCTTCACCTTCTGCTACGCAGCTGGCAACAACAATGGCACGTCCGTGGAGGACGGCCAGATCCCCGAGGTCATCTTCTACACCTAGGCCCCCAGGCCCCCGACGCCACCTGGTGCAAGGAGGCCGCCCCCCGTCCCAGGTCGTGTGTGCGCTCTCTGCCCCGTTTCTGGGCGTCAGGAGAGGGTCACTCCCGTGGCAAGCCTGGCTGCCTGCTCAGAGGAGCCGGGCAGGGGCTGTGAGACTGGCCCCTAGGACTTGGGGCGGGGTGGGGGGGGGAGGCAGGGCTGGCCTGGACCTGTCCTGGGCGGAGGGTCCGCTGGGTCCTTGGGCGTGGGAGTCGTGCACGCCATCCCTGAGCTCGGGACTGCCTGACTACAGGTTTCAGACAGGATCCTGTCTCCTGTTTGTCTGGTCTTAGCGCACATGGCAATGCATCTTGGATCCCCACTCCTCGGGTAGGAGGCAGTCTGTGGGGGCACCCCTAGTGCATTTGCTTGGGGTCTCGGGTTCTGGTCTATTCACTGGGGATGCTTAGGCCACCCCAGCCCCGGTCCCCAACACACTGGCCTCGTCCCCCCCCCCCCAGCTTGAGGTCCTGCAGGCTGGCTTTCTGCCAGGCCTGGGCCCACCCCCTTCCAGCCCCTGCAGCCACGGGCATGGATCACAGACCCCGTCTGCCCGGGCAGTGCTGTGGGTCCGTCGTGGTGGCCAGGTCCTCGGCTGGCCCGCCTGCCCCCCACCTTGTACATACTGCAGCCCTGCGCCACCCAGCCTCTGAGTGAGCACTCTGGCCAGAGGTGCTGGAGGGCGCAGCCCCTCCCCCAAGTCCTTCCCGCCTCCCCACCATGTGTTTCCACCCCAGTGATTCCTTCTGGAAACTGTCCTCCCCAAAGCCATGGAAGGTGTGCTCTTCTCACACCATACCCCCAAATGATTTTTTTAAATAAAGGAATGAAACGTAACCACCCTGACCCGCGTGCTTCTTCATGTTGGAGGTGGTGGGACAGGAGCCTGGCAGCTTTGAGATCTGGCTCTTCTCTCTGCAGCTGCTTCCCCCACTGTAAGATTGGGGGGCCTATGGAAGGGCCTTCTGCCCATGTCTGGAATCACAGTCCCCTGACATAGACGTCCCCGCCTTGGGGCATCCAGTAGCGCTGGGGACCCTCCCCATGCCCTCTGTCCTCTGTACAAACTTCTGGTTTGTGCATCCTGCCCCTGCTGTCCAGCAATGGGGGACCCCAGGGAAGGCTCTGCCCTTTGGACCTGGGGCTGTGCTTGGCACACAGTAGGTCCCTAGGCCGTGCCTGTGCAACACGGGTAACCTGACCCGGCTTCCCTGCTTGGCTCTGCTCCATGTGTCAGGGAATCCCCAAGAACAGGCAGAGAGAGAACAGGGCCTGCTAGCTAAGAATTTTCCAAAATGAGTAAAGACCTCAATCCATACATTTAAAAATCTGTGACACAAAGTGAAATTAAAAAAAACAAACTCGCATATACTCAAACTGCTAAAAACCAAAGGGAAAAAAATCTTAAAAACAGGAGAGGGGCGCCTGAGTGGCTCAACTGGTTAAGCATCTGACTCTTGGTTTTGGCTCAGGTCATGATCTTGGGGTTGTGAGATCGAGCCCTGTGTCGGGCTCCACACTCATTGTGGAGTCTGCTTCTCCCTTTGCCCCTCTCCTAACTCATTAGCGCACACTGTCTTTCAATAAATCTTAAAAAAAAAAACAAAACTACCACCAAACTAGAATTCTGTGCCCTTCAAAAATGAAAATAAAGATAAATGAAGTTAAAACAAACAGCAAGATGGGGGACCAAAACTCAACTATGTCACTTATGTTAAACGTATACAGATCTAAACACTCCAAGTAAAAGATAAAGACTGTCAGACTGGATACAAAACCAAAACTAAACTAGTTCCTAATTACCAGAGTCTCACTTTAATTACAAAGAAACAGAAAAACTGAAGGCAAAAAGTGTTAAGTTTCACTATGCAAACGCTAACCTTAGAAGAAAGTGGGCGTGCCTGCATCAGTATCAGGCAAAGGAGGCTCGAGGGCACCAAGGGCTACTGGAAGTGTAGGACATCTCAGCAATGAATGGGTCAACTCGATGGGAAGAAAGAACAGCCCTAAGTGTATGCACCATAGCACGGGTTTGAAATTGCTAAATCCAGTCAACAGAACAAAACGGAGAAACCTCTAATCCTAGTTGGAAACGAACACCATCACACCCTCTCAATGTGAAAGATTTCACCTGATCAGCATCTGTAGAATGCTGCACTCTGATGGCAATGGAATCAAACCGGAAATAAATCATAGGAAGATAAAAACATGTTTACATAAATATAGACTAAAAAGCCATATGGAAATTAGGAAATATTTTGAACTGAACAATAATCTCATTGTACTATTCCAAAATTGTAGGATCCTGTTAAAGTGGAATTGGGGAAATTTATATTTTATGCAGATTAGAAAAGAAGAGAGGTGTTTTTTTTAAAAAGATTTTATTTATTTATTTATTTGAGAGAGAGAATGAGAGAGAGAGAGCACGAGAGGGAAGAGGGTCAGAGGGAGAAGCAGACTCCCCGCCGAGCAGGAAGCCCGATGTGGGACTCGATCCCGGGACTCCAGGATCATGACCTGAGCCGCAGGGCAGTCGCCCAACCAACTGAGCCACCCAGGCGCCCAAGAAGAAAGGTTTAAAACCAAAGGTCTAAGTTTTCATCTTAAGAAACGAGAACAACAGCAAATTCGATCCCCAAAATGGGAAATAAAATGCTGAGACCAAAAATGAAGCAGAAAATGAATGAAATACAAAACATTAGCTGGTTTCTTGATGGAATCCTAGCAAAAACAAAAACATTTTTTTTTAAGAGCGAAAAAGCCAAGAGCGATGTCAAGACTGAAAAGGGGAGAGCACTACAGACCCTACAGATACTGAGAACACAGTAAGAGGGGTTATTTCTGGTTAGGATATAGACAGTCAGGGCAGACTGTAACTTTGGTTAAAAAAAGACGAGAGATGCACTACGGAAATCACATATAGGTACAGCCACTATTGCAAACAGAACTGGAGGTTCCCCAAATAATTTAAAATAGAAATATACAATGCAGCAATTCCACCTCTGGGTGTACATCCAAAAGAAATGAAATCAGTATCCCAAACATCTGCACTCCCACGTTCAGTGTGGCATTACTAACAAGACATGGAAATGAAGTGTCATGGGCGGATGAAGAAAATGTGATATGTAGTGTGTATTATATACTATTTATTTATTTATTTATTTATTTATTTAGCTAGCTAGCTAGCTAGCTAGCTAGCTAGAGAGAGAGACACAGAGACAGAGACAGAGCACAAGCAGGGGGAGCAGCAAGCAGAGGGAGAAGCAGACTCCCGCTGAGCAAGGAGCCCGATGCGGGACTCCATCCCAGCACCCTGGGATCATGACACGAGCCTAAGGCAGCCACATAACCGACTGAGCCACCCAGGAATCCCTAGCCTTTTTTTTTTTTTTTTTAAAGAAAATCTCTGCCATTTGCAACAACATGCATGACATTATGCACACAAAGACAAATGCTATATGATCTCTTACATGTGGAATCTAAAACTAAAACAACTCCATAGAACCAGAGAGTAAATTGGTGGCCAGGGGTGGGGGAAATGGGCAGATGATGGTTGGCGGGGGGGTACCAGATCTGTTATAAGATGCACACATTCTGTGGGTGCACTGTACAGCCTGGTGACTACAATTAGCACAGTCCTTGTACCTGAAAGCTGCTAAAAGGGGGACCTTGTGTTTTCACCATATACACACAGTCAACTCTGTGAGCTGATGGATGTGTTAATTACCCTGGTTGTGGGGGATCCTATACAATGTCCTATTGTATGCATGTATCAGGCCACATCAAACATCCTAAATTTTTTAAAAACTTATAAAAGAAGTATTTAATTGTAAATATATCAAAGGGATGTGGATGCCGAGGAATCTAGAGAGACTAGGTTTCAGGGGAAGAACGACTGCCCGGAGAGCAGAGGCCAGCAAGTGCCCCCCCAGAAGCATATGCTTGAGCTGGGTATGCTGTGGGTAGGGCATTCTCTGCCAAAGAGAAGCCAGCTGGGGCTGACGCCTGTGTGGGCTGGCAAAACAAACCGGAACCTGAAGGAGCTTGAAAAATGGCAGGTTTTCTCCCATGGGATTTTGCTTAGTGCTTGGCTGGTGATGCAGGGTGGGTGGGGGTGGAAAGACAGAGTGAAATCTGTGGTCTCTCCATGCTTGGAAATCGGAGTCCTGCTAGAACCCCAGACTGGCAATAAAAACAAGGCAGTTCAAGACATGAATAAAGTCCAAGACCTGAAAACTAGAGGTGACCCAAAGCTCAAGTGGAAACCCAGCCTGATCAGCCGGCCCAAGTCCGTCATCCAGGCCAGCCAGTACAGGAAGGAGTGTCCTCTTGCTGGGGGGGCAGGTGGGCCTGGCTTCTCAATGTTTAAACGCAATGTTTGGAATGCAAAAACAATTCTGAAATGTGAAGGAGGAAAATGTAATCTATAATCAAGAGGAGAAGAAAACAGCCAATAGAAGCAGACCTACAGGGGCCCCAGATGTTGAAACTAGAGGTCAAGGACTATTACGTCACTGCTCTACATCTGTTAAGGAATAAAGACAGTGAGGCAGAGGGATGAAGGAATGGAGGATTTCAATAGAGAAATAAGCTCTACAAACATAAGTGGAAACTTGAGAACTAAAAAATACCTAAAATATATTGGCTACAGGGCGCCTGGGTGGCTCAGTTGGTTAAGCATCTGCCTTCACCTCAGGTCGTGATTCCAGGGTCCTGGGATCGAGTCCCATGTTGGCTCTCTGCTCAGTGGGCCTGCTTCTCCCTCTCCCTCTGCCTGCCTCTCTGCCTACTTGTGCTCTCTCTGTCAAATAAATAAAACCTTTTTAAAAAATTATATACTGGATAGCTTAAGAGCACACAAAGCATCACCAAAAAAAAAAAAAAAAAACCTAACAAAAAACAACACAAAACAAAACAAACAGGACTAATAAAGACATGTCAAAACTATCCAAACTGGAAGCATAAAGGAAAAAAAAAATAGAAAAACATAAAACAAAACAAAACCCCCAGAGTATCAGACCTTTGGGGTCAGATGAGACGGTCCTACACATAGATAACTGGAGTCCTGAGGGCGGGGGAAGCTCGGAGAAACACTCGATGAGCTAATAGCAGGAAATCGCCCAAAGCTGATGAAAGACACCAGCACACAGATCTAAGGAGCTCAGCAAATTGCCCTGCAGGATAAATACAAAGAAAACCACACATCACAGCCAAATGACTTACACACAAACAGACTCACAAGCAGCAAGCAGCCAGACAAAAAGGTATGTGACTTTGAAGTGAATGATGACAATCACCTCACATCAGAATCAACCGAATGACATCTTTAAAATGCTCGAGAGCAAAAAACCCAAAACACACCCCACAAAAAACCAAATCCACCTGCCAGCCTAAAATTCCATTCCCAACAAAACATCCATCGTTAATGTAGACTAAACATTCTCAGGCAACCAAACGTTGTGAGACTCTGCTGCCCCAAAACGCACACTACAGAAACCACTGAAGGCAGTTCTTCAAGCTGAAAGGAAAGGACATGAGACGGAATCCCTAGCGGGCAAGAAGCCAGAAAGAGCACTTGGAGTCAGTACACGGACACGTGTGTGTGTAAAAAGTGTATTCACAATTACATAACACAAATGTAACAGGCAACTGTGGGCTTATAACATTCATCAAAAATAAAAGAAATGGCAAAAATAGCACAGAAGGGGGGTCAGTGGAAACAGGAAATATCTGTGTACACGCCAACATGCAACCGCACGTCCCTATTTTTGCATTTATCTCTCTGCTTCTATATTAGGAGCCACAGTTTGAGCTGACCCCTCTGGCTCTAACCCAACACCCCAGGGCTCATGCCGGTCTCCTTTCTCGGGCTTGAGCTTACAGCTGGGTTTTCTGTGCTTCTTTCGGTCGTGGGTGTACATGCTCACCCGCAGTCACAGCCCACCCAACCCCCGGGCGAGGGCTGCAATGCTGAGGCCCTGCTACGAAGCACGGCCTGGCGGCACGTGGACCCTCGGCTCATGCCCGTTTTACTGAGCTTTTCAAAAGGCTGCTCTGTCAGCCCTTTGCATTGTGTGTTGGTTTGGAAAATCTCATTGCTAAACCCTCTTGCCCTGGCAAATTACCTTCTTCCTGCCAGCAGGCCCCAAGGACCATCGTCATCTTTGAAACAGGGTCATTTTACTAGGAGATGCCTCGTAGGTGGCTGTTTCTTAGGTGCCCATTCAGTGTGGAGATTTGGGGTTTTGCCTCCATCTGGAGGAAACACTAGCTCCAGTTTGCTTCTTCGAAAGCCCGGCTAGCGTGGCGTTCCTCCGTGGCCTCTGCCTTCCTCCTGATGCGTGGCCCCTTGTGCTTCCTCTTTTTTCTTGTTCTGCTTCTGTGCCCTTTCGTGAATCTTTCCTGGAGTCCTGGGCACCCTGCAGAATATTCCCCATTTCTAAAGTCATCTTCCCACTTCTACATTTCCTCCCTGAATTCAAGCTTTTTCCACTTCTGGTTTTTGCCCATTTCTGTCTTTAGTTTTTGAATTTCTGATCCAAGATGATTTTCACAAAAGTCTTCGAATGCTGTTGGGAGCCAGTCTCGCCGTCTTCTTCAGCTTCGAAGTTACCTACCCAGGGAAGCTGGGAGTTCCCTGGTCGAACTCCCTGGTCTGTAGTGTGCAGGGCCAAGGTCTGGTTTGGTTAAGAATTCACTCCCTTTGCTTCTGGCCACATCACTCAAAGACCCCTTACAGGGGCACTAGTCCCACCAGGGGAGTTCCCCCCACAACATGACCTCACCTAACCCTCATCACCTCCAAAGACCCTGTCCCTAACACCGTCCCACCCCACTGGAGTTACGTTGTCAGCATATGAACGTTGGGGGAACACATGCAGTCCACGGCATCCACCAGAGAGATCGCTTTTCCTCCGTGCTGCATTCAAGGCAACTGGTGAGGCTGTCCTGGGGCTCCCCACTTTGTCAGGTGCACTGGAGACCCAAGCATCCAGCTGCAGCTGCCCTCCCCCGCCATTTCTCCTGGAAGAACAAGCCACTTTGTTAGGGTTTCTAATGTGTTTGTGTGAAGCCAGGCCCAAGGGGTCCTTACCTGTCCTTCGCTCTCATCTTGACTAGGTTAACAGCAGTGTCTCCAGCCCCCAAACACAACCAAGCCCCACTCCAACACTGACCGGAGTACTCGGTTCTCTTGTTCTGACTGTCCATGTCTCCTGAGCAAGGGATCACCCCGAGCCTGCCCCTCCCAGGGATGTAAGCATCTGTGCTGCCGTTGCTGCTTCAGCCAAGCCTCTTGGAAACACCGGACACCACACTCAGGAGTGCTTTCATTTTCCTTTATTTTTTTAAAAAAGCCCCTAAACTCTATGGCTTCCAGGAAACGTCAGAGAAACCGAAGTGCCATTTCTGTACACCGTGTAAAGCAAGACCTAGACACACACACTGCTGCCAGGCCGTCCCTGGCTGCTCCACCCCGAGGCAGCACAGGCCCTCCAGGGGGGCCCAGGAGGACCACACGCCCACCAGGACTGCCCGACCCCGGACGTGCCTGCAGGGCTGGGACAGGGCTTTAAGGCGCTTGTCTCCTGCTGGTCCGCTGGCGGCATGGAGCACAGACACGAGAAGCCCACACACACCCGGGCACAGACCACGGCCTGAGTGCCAAGCAGGAGGCCGCCCCCGGGGCTCCGAGGCCCTGGACACGACTCCACAAGCAGGTGTGGCAGGGAACCCTGTGGGGCTGTGCCCGCTGGCCCAGGCTTTGGTGCAGCATTTTGGTTTGGGGGGCCTCCCCCACCCCGCCTTCCCCTGTGGTGCAGGGAGGCCCAGGGCGGGCTCGCCCCTGGCAGCAACGCCCACAGCACCCCCTCGAGAGAACGGCCTTTGGATCGAGGGAGACAAGCTGGACTTTATGAGACTAACAGGACGGGGTGGCCGGCGCGGGCGGCCGACTACTCACTTCAGCAGGCGGGCGGGAGGGGCGCAGGGCAGGGTGGCCACTGTTTCTCTTCTCCTTGTTTGAAATAGTTAATGCTCTTGGAGGGGAGGACCAGACACGGGCGTAGAAATTTCGGCCAAAGTCTCGTGTGAAAGAAGTGACCCCGCGTGGGGGGCAGGCAGCCACGGCCGGCCCTGCAGTTTGTCCTGGCTGTGGGCCACACAGCCGGGGCCAGGCTCGCTGGGGTGGCTGCGGCAGGAGGGTCCAGGGCACCCGGGCCCAGCATCACTTGTGACGCTGCACTGCTTTTCTCTTCCTTCTCTTGAAAAAACAGCAGCACCTGCACAGGGTGGGCGAGGGGACATGGACATGTGGCCGGTGGTGGGGAGGGGGCCCGCGGTGTCCCCGCGCCCGGCTGCTGCCCGGGGCCTTACTTGGTGTCATCGGCCACCTCCACCTCTGCGGGCGCCGTGATGGGAGCATTGGAGTGCCCGGCAGTGGGGTCGTCCGCGTTCAGCTCCCCATTGGTGGAGTTCAGTGCCTGGGTTGGGGGAGGCAGCAGGGGGGTCAGGTGGGCCCTGCCCCACCGCCCCCATGGTTGGGGTCCTTGGCCCAGCCCCTCACCTGGTTTTTGCTGTGTAGCTGGGCTTTGTCCCGAGGCTGAGGCTGCGAGGGCAGGTCGGAGTGGACCGTGCCGATGGGCGTTGGCTGCAGGGGGCAGGACGCAGCGCTGAGGCCGGGCAGCCTACTCCCACCCACCATGCACCTGGGGTCCCATGGGCATGGAGCACCAAGGCTCCCGGCCCCACATCCTGGGGCCTCACCCACTGCAGGAACCAGGACTCTAGCGGTCCGGGGACCCCCACGTACCAGGGGCTTCCCCGCCCAGTCGTACTCATAGTCGAACACGAAGCCGCTGCGGTCGAAGAGGTCGGTAAAGAGCTTGCGCAGATAGTCGTAGTCTGGCTTCTCAAAGAAATCCAGGCGCCGCACGTAGCGCAGGTAGGTGGCCATCTCCTCTGTGGAGAGGCAGCGGGGGCGCACAAGTCAGTGGGGCATGGGGGCAGTCAGTGGGGCATGGGGGGGTCAGTGGGGCCCGGGGCCGTGGGGCCGTGGGGCCCCTCACCTGGGAAGCTCTCGCAGAGCACCTCAATGGGCGTGGCCCGCTTGGTGTCCCCGATCTTCTGGTAGCGCTCCTTGAGTGTGTCGGCCTGTGGGGAGAGCGGTCAGCCGACACCAACCCACAGGCCCCCCGCGCCCGCACCCCTGGCCCTGCGCCCACCTTGAGCCCCTGCCAGGGCAGGCTGCCACGCAGGAAGTACATAAACATGTGGCCCAGCGCCTCCAGGTCGTCGCGGCGGCTCTGCTCTGCGGGGGGAGAGCAAGTCAGCGCGGCCCGTGAGCCCCCCCGCCCGGCCCGTGCGAGGCTCACCCTTGCCCAGGTGCGTGTTGATGCTCATGTAGCGCGCCGTGCCCGTCAGGCTCTTGTGCTCCCGGTACGGGATGTGCTTCTTGGTCTCGGGGTCGATGTACTCCTTGGCCAGGCCAAAGTCGATGATGTGGATGGCGTGCTGCCGCTTGGTGCCCGGCCGCCCCACCAGGAAGTTCTCGGGCTTCACATCGCGGTAGATGAGGCTCTTGGTGTGCACGTACTCCATGCGCGTGATCTGTGGTGGGGAGGGGCGCTCAGGGCTGTCCCCTCGGCCCGCCCGCCCCTCCCCTGCCCCACAGCCCTCCCAAGCACCCCCAGCCCATACCAGCTGGATGGCGATCATGAGCACCGTCTTGAGCGTGAACGTGCGGTCACACAGGTCAAACAGGTCCTCCAGGCTAGGCCCCAGCAGCTCCAGCACCATGGCATTGTACTTCCCACACGGGCCGAAGTAGTAGACCTGAGGGATGCCCTCTACAGGGGCGACACACAGACTCGTGTGGGGCCTGCGTGGCACCCTCCGTGGCCCCCACCGCGCCCCCACTGTGCGGGGCCCAGGTACCTGCGGCACTGAGCTGCTTGTAGAAACGGTACTCCAGGTGCAGCTGAGGCGCCCGGGACTTGATGGGCTCCTGGGAAGGGCAGGTGGACATGTGGTCAGGGGACCCACCGTGCATGCACCACCCCCACCCAGGAGACCCACCGGGCCAGCCTGAGCTCAGGACCCCTGAGGCCCCACTGGGCGGTGTGAGGGAAGGCCTGAACTCACCAGTTTAATAGCTACGTATTCATTTGTATAGAGATTCTTCCCTGTGGGAGAGAGGTGCGTCAGCACGGCAGGGCCCCCGGCACGGGGGAGACCCCACCTGACCCACGCCTCCAGGGCCACCTCGTATTCCCTGGCAGACCCTCTTGAGCCTGGCCATGTCCTGGGAGTGAGAAGAATGCCTACAAAGCCCCCTGCCCCGCTGCGGGTGGCCCCCATCTGCCCCACACCCTCATCCTCCAGCACCCCTCCAGCCAGCCCTCCCCTCCCCCCACCAACCCAGGCCCGTCCAGTCAAGGAGGCCGCTCCCAACTCCTCTCTAGGGGGTCCTTCCTGCCAGCACACCAACTTGTGCCCACTTCTCCCATCTAAAAAAAACAAGGAGAGAAAACAGACCCACGATGACCCCGAGGCCCCTCTTCAGCTCCCACAGTGAAGCAGCAGAGGATGGTGTTCCGCCCCCACCTATTCCAGCTGACCTGCAGCAGCCCCTCCTGGCTCCCCGGAACACCCCTGTCCCTTCTCCGGTAACTCTACACTCCCAACACCTGCTCTGCCTAGGACCAGCCCCCCTGCCCTTCTTCCGTCTGTCCCACCAGCAGACCCCGACCCTGTGGAGCACGGCCCCCTGGCAAGAAGCCGCATGGAGAGGCCCATCCAGGTCCTGTCTTGCGATGACTCACCCAAGGCGCTCCACACCGGCCATCAGCGTGGGGAGCTCCCTTGTGGTGCAGAAAGGGAACAGGCCTCAGGGGCCTGCCCCTTGCTGGAACCTGTGGCTCACTGAGACACTGCTCAGTGGCATCTGGTGGGCAGACAGCCCCTGGCTGGCTTCCCAGGGCACCAGAGCTCACCACGCCTGGGGCTAGGAATCTGTGCCTCACAGGGAAGAGCAAGCCTGGGGCAGGGTCTTCCCAAGCCCATCACTGACCAGCAGGACCTCCAGGAACCCACACAGAGCCCACACGCCCAACCTCAGAGAACTGAAAACACATGAGTTCCGGCACCTGCCGCAGCCCAGATTTCACCTGCTAGAGCCCCACAGACGGGACTTATGGTGAGACGGCCCCAGCCCCGTGGCTCGGGGCTTCTGTGAAGGGTCTCTGTGCCCTGTGTGTGGACACCCGGCACCCACTTGGCTTTGAGGTCAGGTGACCTGCTGCATAATAGAGGGCTGCCCTAGCCCCTCAAGCCCAAGCGCTTGCCCCTGCCCCCCGACCCTCTGGGGGTTACTGGGCACAGCACCGTGGACAGCTGTGCCCCCGTCTCCAGTAGAGGGCCCCTCCCAGCATGATCCTGGCCTATGGCCTCGGACTGGCCTCACCGGACCCTAAGGGCCATGAATGTGGCTCCACATGGTATACCTGCTCCTCCAAGATGCCACACGGTCTGCCCCACTGGACTTGAGCAGGATCCACTGTGGGAAGAGGCCTCAGCTTACTCTCCCCGTCATGGTGACATCCACACCTGGGCTGTTCCTCCAACGTGGCGGTGGAGACCCCGCTGTGTACCACCCCGCAGGCTGAGGCCAGGGCTCCCCGTGCCTGTCAGCCCCTCCCCCCAGTCACCACCCCATCCCGGGCATGCTCTCAGGTGTGTGTGTCGCTGTGGCACTGGTGGGGGCGGGGGGGGGTCTTTGGTGCGGCCTCAGCCATCCTGGGGCCTTTGTCCCCAGGGGCGGTTCGAGAGCCAGCGGGTCAGCTTCCCCAGCACACTGCATGCCAAGGGGTCACCGCAGGCCTACAGGAGAACCTGAGGGGGGGACAGCTGAACTCCAGCTGCCCGGCCACGATGCGCAAGTTAATTTCTCTCACAGAGGTTTTTAGTTCTCGGCAGGGAGCGCATGCACATCCTGCTTATTTATTCATTCATTCCACGGGCACTTGGCAGGTTTGGGCATGCTAACCATAGTGTGTTTAAATTTTTCTTTTCCAACTGTTGCTCGAACAAAACATTCATTTCTGACTGCACCTCGGGAGACTGCTGAGGCCGCTGCGTGCCCACGACGGTGCTGTCTGGGAGGAGCCCAGCTCGCCTCTCCCCCAGTCTGTGTTCTCTCCTCTCCCATTTCTTGCCGCGGTCTGGGAGGGGTGGGCAGAGGGGCCCCGCCTTCCCGAAGACCTCCGTTCACTTGGGCAGACAACTCAGTTAAGAGGTTCTTCACAGACGCTCATCAGCAGGGAAGGAAAGCTCTCCTGAAGCCCTGCTTCCTGGGCTTTGATAAAAAACAGGTTTTGCCTCTTATGTTTTTCCTTCAACATTTTATGATGAAAGTTTCAAACATAAAAAAATGGAAAACCCCTGCAGGGAAGACCCACATCCTCACCCCCTAGATGACATCAGAAACAATCTGCTCTTCATTCTGCTGTGTCTGTGCACCTGTCACCCACTCATCTCCCTTATTTATTTTCTAAAGATTTTATTTATTTGACAGAGAGACAGTGAGAGAGGGAACACAAGCAGGGGGAGTGGGAGAGGGAGAAGCAGGCTTCCCGCTGAGCAGGGAGCCCGATGCAGGGTTCGATCCCAGGACCCTGGGATCACGACCTGAGCTGAAGGCAGACACCTCACCGATGTAGCCCCCCAGCTCCCTTAATTTTAACAAAATCAGAGCATTTCAAAGCAGCAGACATCAGTACCCTCCATATTCCAGCCGATGAAGAGCACAGACTAGGTTCAGCAGGACCTCGGCTGAGGGGAGACACTGACCCGTGAAGTGCACGCACGTGAAGGGCCCCATGCAATGAGCATGTCGCCAGCACACAAACCAGGCCCGGCCCCACCTTCACGACCCGAGACGCATCCACCGAGGGGCACCATCCGGCACACCCCCTCCTTCCCGGCTCCTTCCATACAGCTCGGCGCACCAGAGGTTTGTCCGTGCTGCGGCACATCCGCCGCCGGGACCCGGTCTGGCTGGCTTCGCCGGCCGGCTCCCGGTGTTCTTACAAGCTCCGCGGAGGTGAGTGTTAAGATGCAGAACTTCCTACCGGCACGCAGGCCCACTCTGCCAAGTCTGCTGCTTGTGCTGCGAATGTGCAGTGTAACTCACGTGGCTGCCTTCCCTCGTGGCCGGTGTGGCAGCGTGCCTTCTGAGCTCCTTGGCGATTCATCTGTCCGCTTTTGTGAAGTCTCTCTTCACATCTCTTGCCTGTTTTTAATGTTTTTTTGAAGTCATCTCTACAGCTGACATGGGGCTCAAACTCACGACCCCGAGATCAAGAGTCACACGGTCCTCCGACGGAGCCGGCTGCGCACTCCTCTCGTGCCCATTTTTAATTGGAGTGTCTTTTTATTACTGAGCCGTCCTTCCACAGGTGCAAACGCCGGGGCTTTGTCACACGGTGCTCTCTGAGCACTGCCCGTCTGTGGCTTGCCTGTCCACGCTCCTAACAAGGTTTTCTCACAAATACATGGTTGTTTTTTTAAAAGGTTTATTTATTTGAGAGAGAGAGAGCACACATGTGTGCAAGCGGGGGGAGGGGCCAGAGAGAATCTCCAGCAGACTCCCCTCGGAGCACAGAGCCCCACGTGGGACTCAATCCCACGACCCATGAGGTCACGACCTGAGCCAAAACCAAGAGTCGGACACTCAACCAACTGAGCCGCCCAGGCGCCCCTCATAAAAAGGTGTTTTAAACTCTGATGATTCTAATCAATCGTTTATGGTAACTGATAACTTTATTGTGTCTTGAAGAAACTTTGGCATTTTGACTGCCCATGTGAGTTCTGGGAGAGCCAAAGTCCTTGAAGGCCAGTGTGAGTTGAAGGGGAGCGCATGTGCACTCGTGCCCACACGTGTCTCAAGTCAGGATGTGCAGACAGCTGGAGGGGTTCAGGTGCTTGGGGCTCCGAGGGCCTCACCAATGTCTGCAGTCTTGCCTGTGTGTGTTGGGGGCATGCTCCTGAGGGGCTACAAGCAGGAGGAAGATCCTGGGGGCCACACAAGGCTGGAGCTGCAGCCATCCAGACACAGAGGTCTTCCTGAACGCCCCCGACCCTTGGCTGAGAACCCAGGACGCCCTCGCCATGGGACAGATGTGACTCCAGCCCTTGAGTCAGGTCAGCTCTCAGCTGCCCACCAGACCCGCACGACGTCAAGATGAGCCTCCAGGACAGCATAATGCAGACATTCCACACGTGGCACCCACCATTTCCAACAGATAATAAAACAGTACTAGACGTGTGCAAAAGGAGGCAAGTGAGACAGTAACAAGAAACAACAAAGTCAAAGGTGCCAAAGATTTAGCATTTTAAACAACCACAAGGATGTGTGAGGATTTCAAGGACAAGATGGGGAAAATAAATGAGCAGATAGGAAACCTCAAGGGAGAAACAGGGGAATCCAGTGAAGTGAGAAATACCATGTCTGAAGTGAAAAATTCACCGGAATGGCTCCAACAATAGATCAGAGAAAAAGAAGGATGAACTTACAAAAGAGTAAAACCTAATCAGACTGAAGCAAAGAAGGAAAAAAAGGCTAAAAGAAACTCAAAAGAAGCTTGAGGGACCTGCAGAAAAGCATCAAACACTTAATGTACATGTAACCGGAGTCTGACGGTGCCAAAGACATGAAAACAAAGGCAGGGAAAGATCTGAAGAAACAATGACTGAAGTTTTTCCAATTTCATGAAAAAGTATCACAGATCTATGAAGCTTAATCAATCCCAAGCATGATAAACACAAAGAAATCTCCCTTCAACAATGAGGAATCAAAATCTGAAACCAAAAATAAAAGGAAAACCTCAAATCGCCAGGAAAAAAGACACACGATGTACAGGAGAACATGAATCATCAAGAAAATGCAAATGAAAACCCCTTGACACCCCCGAGCATGCTCAAAACAGAAAAATCCAATGACCCCAAATGCTGCTGGGGATGTGGGACACGCAGGACCCTTGGACGCTGCCCGTAGGAGTTTAGAAAGGTTACCATCACTGTGGAGATCAGTCTGGCAAGACCTGGAGAGGGACGCTGAGGACAGTTTTATTCACAATGGCGAAAATGTCCCTGAGCAGGAGAACGGATGAAGAAAATGGGGTGCAGACGTACAGATGGGACAACCAGCTACCTACACACACAACACCGGGGACACTCAAAATCATGCTGAGCAAAAGCCAGGCAGAAAACACCACATACCTCAATTTTGAAAATGTTTTAAACCCAAAGCTGCTGTACCCCACGGCCCCACTGCACACTCTCATTTGTTTATGCAGAACCGTACTGCATAGGCTGCTGATCCTGACACCCCAAGGACAAGCCCCGTAACCCCCAGGCTGCAAGTCAAGTCTGGGCCTGTGTGTGCGTCCTGGTTTGTGTGAGCATGTGTGTGCACACATGCACATCCTAATAGGGAGGCAGGAGGGGGTGAAGGCGGCTCCGTCCGGGGTCAGCTGTGGAACTGGCTACTAGGTGGCCGGGGCCCTGCTGTGCCGGGACGGCTGGACACAGCTGCACTGCGCTCTCTCCCACAAGTCTGGCAGTGTTGCAGACAGACAGACACATCCGCTGTTCGAGCCCTGCACCTGCCCTGCACGCCCCCCATCAACCAGCACACAGAGACCGGACCCCCAGCCCTTGACAGTCTGCTGGCTCAGAAGGCCCAAGCCCAGGGCTTCCTGAAGCCACAGACAGGCAGTGAGACTCCATGGCCCAAGCCCAATCCTGCAGCCTCTGGAACGGCTGTGGTGTGGCTCTGGCTCAGGACGGAATCTCAACCCAGGCTCTCAGGGTTGGGGCACGTGACAGTGACACAGGCCACTGGATGGGGCTCAGGCTTTGCCTGCGGTTCCTGACAGCTAAGTGCTCAGCAGGAGCTAAGCTTGCATTTCACCTTGCAAATGCACCTGGACCCACCAGCTAGAAACTTCCATGTGGGTCCCCCCTGTATGGGGGGGCACACACATTCCCCACAAAACTGTCCCTTAAAAACACAGGGTGAGGCTAGGTGTCCACCCCCCTGGCAAAGCCTCCCCCCTGGGGAGCAGAATCTCACACTTACCTGGACTCCCAGGCCCAACCATCTGGAAGTCATCTGGGAGTGGTGGCCGCAGCCCCGTCAGGCGCCCCCCCCCCGCCCCGCGCCCCGGGATGTAAGCAAGGCTGCTCACCTAGCCGGAGCTCCCCGAAGTTGCCACAGCCTATCTTCTTCCCGACCCGGAAGTTGGGTCCCACCATCAGGACCCCTGAGCTGGTCCCCGAGCTCCGGACGCCATGGCTGGTCCGGCCGCCGGCCTTGGACATTCTCCGACCCTCCTCCGACTCCCCTTTCCCTCCTTTCTTGTCAAAATCCATAAGTTTGTGGTACCCTGGCCTCTCCACGGTGACTCAGCTGCCGTGCAAATCCCGGGTCTGTGCAGACCTGAGGCTGCGGCCGGCTCTTCGGGGCTAGTACACCATGGTGGCCCGGCGCTCCCGGCTAGTGAGACGTGGGCGCTTGCCAGGGCCCGGTGGTGCTGCTCATCTCGGTGGCTTCGGGGTCGCATGCAGGGGGACGACACATTCTGTTGACAGGTCCCGCCGCCTCAAATCTCGTGGTTCCCGGCTGGCAAAGAAATAAAGACATGGGTCAGGAGGCCACGCGTGTCCATGACGCAGCCCTAGCCTGGCAGGTGGCCCCAAGGGCAGCACCATGAGAGGCTTGGGCCGCCAAGCACATGCTGAAAGATCTATGAAGGTACGAGCGCGAGCCACGACTTCCTGGGGCCCGGACAGAGGGGTGCAGTGACTCCAGGCCGTGAGTGCCTTATGTCAAGCTGGTGTGAGACGTGCTGTCGAGTGACCTGCACCCCGTGATTCAGGGACAACCCCACTGGCAGAAGTCGGGGCTAGTCACGTGACTGAGGCCCTAGAACCCCGAAGCCAGCTGTGGAGCCCCCAGTCTGGGTGCAGAGAGGGCTAAGAGCCACCTCACCCACAGCCCCTTCCCCAGGCCGAGGGGCTGCTCCTCAGGACAGGGAAGACGGCACAGAGCAGAGCAGAAAGTGCCCGAGGCTGGGAGACAGGCCCTCGCCACTGACCTCCAAGGCCTCTGGCCTGCCCCACCGGCCCCCACTGCACCCCACCCTGTGCTGTGCAGGTGATGCCAAGGTCCCCGGGCCTAATTCCAGGAACTTGTGACCTATGGCCAGGTGGGGCTGGAGGAGGCCTTGACCCTGGCAAGGCTTCACTTGGTCAGCAGCTGCCGAGGGAAGTCAGGTGGGCTCCCAGGCTGAGAGAGCCAGCGATCTGGGCACAGGCTGTGCATGCCCCTGGGGTGGGACCAGCCCTGGCCCCTTAGGGACGAAGCAGGGGCCGTGGAGGGCTTGTAGAAGGAAGGGCAGGCACTGCGCAGCCCCCAGGACGCGGGGAGGAAGGGCCAGCCACCCAAGCTGGGTGTGGCGAGGGGCAGGTACCCACAGAAACAAACCCGGGCCGGCCCTTGGCCCTGGCCAGACGCCTCCAGCCCACCCTGCGTCCCCAGGCCCACCCCCACCCCCTCAGGTTCTGGGCGCCAGCCAGCCAGACCAGGCCTCTCAGCCACACCTCCTCCTCCAACCCCCACCAACCGCTCACATCAAAGCCAAAGGATCTCCTCAAAAAGAAACCACCAACATGCTCCTGCAAGCGCCCCGGACCAAACATGTCCTCCTCTAAAATCTGAGTGTGGGGCGCCTGGGTGGCTCAGTCGGTTGATGGATGAGTCTGGATTTCAGCTCAGGTCATGATCTTAGGGCTGCGGGATCGAGCCCCACGTCGGTCTCCGTGCTGGACCGACGTGGGGCTGGGTGCGAAGCCTGCTTGAGATTCTCTCTCTCCCTCTGCCCCTCCCCTCTCCTCCCTTTCTTAAAATTAATTAATTAATTAGATTAAGTCTGAGTGCGTGCCAGAGGCCTGGAGAAGGGGCTCTGCCTGTGCACACAGCTGTCAGGCCCAGAGCGGCCACGACCCAGCTCACGCGTGTCCCCGCTCACTGTGGATCAGGGCAGGCGGGCTCTTTAATGCCAAGACAAGACACGGAGTCTGAGGTGCATGAGCGGGGCTGCCCACACGTGGGAACACCCTGAGGTCAGACTGCTCCCCCACCAGCCCTGCAGCTGGATGTGCCAGGGAGACAGGGATGGCGTCGCCTCCCCATGGGGGCCCCCAGAATGCCCCTCCACTGACCAGGCCAGGACCAAGAGTCCTGGGAACAGCTGGCTCAGAGCAGGCAGGGGCCCCGCGGAGGGGATCCCCAGTCCATGTGCTCAGGGAGAGGCGATGGCCCAGGGCTGGGGCGCTCACACACCCCCTCCCGTACTCTCACACCTGTGTGCACGCCCACATCACACACAAAGGGGTGCTGCTCCGGAGGCCTGGGTGGGGCCTGGCTCAGTACGCTGCCCCGCCACAGAAGAACCTCAGGCTTGGGGTCAGGAAGGAGCAAGGCCCCGCCTGCTTTGGGGACCATCACTCTTGTGGGTACTGGGGATAGAGTGAGTGAGTGTGTGCGGGGCCTGTCAGGAACGGGGGCCAAACACAAAGAAGGGGGTTTCCCCGCTCCATCAGTTGTGCCCCACACATCCCTGGGCAGGGCCTAGAGTATGCAAGGGGGATGGGGTCTTGGGGACAGTGGCTAGGCTGCCCCAGGAGGGAACACGTCCATCTGAGATCGACGGAGCCAGCCCCCTTCCCATCGCACACACCTGGAAATACCCCAAGAGCCCCTCTGAGCACACCTGGAGCTCCACCTGAAGGTGAATCTACACAGACCATAATCTCAAGTTTACTATTAAAAACAAAGCCGTCGGGCGCCTGGGTGGCTCAGTTGGTTAAGCGACTGCCTTCGGCTCAGGTCATGGTCCTGGAGTCCCGGGATCGAGTCCCGCATCGGGCTCCCTGCTGTGGGGAGTCTGCTTCTCCCTCTGACCCTCTTCCCTCTCATGTGCTCTCTCTCATTCTCTCTCTCTCAACTAAATAAATAAAATCTTTAAAACAAAACAAAACAAAACAAAGCCGTCCACAGGCTCCAGCCTTCCTCCTGAGCTTGGGCCAGACCCTGCTCCCTGGACACAGGGTGGGGGCGTCGGAACCATACAAGAAAAGCCAGAGAGCACTTCTCTCCTCGCGAGAGTGGGGGGGCATCTTTTGTTTCTAGGTCCCTGCTTTATCATTACTCCTATTATAGAAATACAATTCCCATACCATACGTTTCACCCCTTAAAAGTGTACAATTCAGGGGCGCCTGGGTGGCTCAGATGGTTAAGCGTCTGCCTTCGGCTCAGGTCATGATCCCAGGGTCCTGGGATCGAGCCCCGCATCGGGCTCCTGGCTCAGCGGGGAGCCTGCTTCTCCCTCTCCCTCTCTCCCTGCTCATGCTCTCTCTGTGTCTCAGATGAATAAATAAAATCTTTAAAAAAAAATAAAAAAGGGGCGCCTGGGTGGCTCAGATGGTTAAGCGTCTGCCTTCGGCTCAGGTCATGATCCCAGACTCCTGGGATCGGGTCCTGCATCGGGCTCCCTGCTCCTTGGGAGCCTGCTTCTCCCTCTGCCTCTCTCATGAATAAATAAATAAAATCTTTTAAAAAAATAAATAAAAGTGTACAATTCAGTGGCCTTTAATACAGTTATCCAACCATTACCATGGTCTAATTGCAGAACATCCCATCACCCCAAAAGGCACCCCGTCCTATCAGCCATCACCCCCCAGCCCCACGAGCCCCCTTCCCATCCGCGGATAAGCCTGTTCCGGACGTGTCACCCACGTGGACGCACACCCCGTGCGGCCTTCTGTGTCTGGTTCCCTCCCTGAGTGTCGTGGGCTCGGGGTCCGTCCCCGGGGCCGCGCGTGTGGGCAGAGGGACGTGCCCGTGCGTGGGGGACCGTGAGTGTCCATCTCTGGGCACTGAGAAGCGAGCGTTGGTTCCTCTGGGTGCACAGCTGGCCGTGCTCAGATGGAAATTCTACCGCAGCCGTCTGAGGAGCTGCTGGGCTGCTCTCCGAGGGGCCGCACCGTCTTCTTGAAGCCCGCACACTGCGCACGAGGGTCCAAGTGCTCCTTGGGCTCCAGCCCGTGCTGCCGTCCCCGCGGCGGTGCTTCTGGTCCGCATTTCCCCGAACGCCTGCTTTCTTTCTAGACACAAGTTTCCTCCCCCGACCGAGACAAAGGAAGCCAGACTCATTTCCTCGAGAGTGACCGTGGCTGAAGCAGGAGAGTCATGAGAAAGGAACGGAGGAGGGGACGGCGGGCAGCTGCCTTTGGAAGAGCCCCCACTGCCTGCAGGGGCGCCAGGAACAGAGCCCACACGCAGGGCAGGCGCCCGGACGCACAACCTGGTCCGGGCCCGTCCAGAGGGCCAGACGGAGCAGAAATGAGCAGGACGCAGGCACTCCCTGAGGTGGTCATCAGCCAGGGCAGGATTTTTGCAAAAAACACCTGGTTCTTTACTTGGTAAACCTTAAGGGCAGAACACTAAAGCCACACACAACCTCTTAGCGACCGGGTAGAGACTCAGCACACATAGCAACCCACATGCCCTTCGTACACCTGGCACAAGCTCACTGCTCCTTTGAAAGTCGGGATTCCACACCAAGGGGCACCGGAACCTACCTACGTTCCGTTAACAGACACTTAGATTTTCTTTCCAGTCAGAAAGTAATCAAGAACACGAGCATCGGACACCCATGCACTCACGCGTGCACACATGCATGGACACACACACAGACACTCGAAACACAAAGGCCCAGAGTCCTTCAGATGTAAAATCCACAGGAATTTCAAAGATCACAAGCAGACACTTTGTGTGGGACACAGAACATTCTCGCATCTCATGACCTCTACTATCCTGATGAAGGGTGAACTCAAGGGGCGAAGGGGTCCCGGGGGCTCCCCGCAAAGGCAGTGCAGCAGAAGCCAGCGACAGGACATCCTCAGAGCCCTCAGCTCAGGGGACGCACCCCCAGCGGGGAGGGCTGGGACGTCTCCATGCAGACCAGGCCAGGACGACCCATAAAGACAGAGATCTGGTCTTTGTCCTGGGGTCTGGCACAGAGCTCCTCAAACCCGGGGCATTTCCTGAGGGACAAGAGCGGCTCTGCTCTGCAGAAGCACCAGAGATCACGCTGGGTCCGGTCACCAGGAAGACAAAGCTGGGAGCGGAGCTGGGGAGGCCGGGGTGCAGAACGCCAGGACACAAGGTAGGGGAGCTCTGCTCCCTGCTGAACTACCGGTACTGCCCTGCCCCGAGGCCCACGGGAGGAGCCCCTCTGGGGTCCTCACGCCTCAGGACCTCACCCCCCATCCCTCCTGGGAGGCCCCTCCTCGGCCATCAGCACAGGGCCGTCCCTAGCAGCCCCCTTGTCCTCAGCCCCCACCCCGGATGGGCATCTCCACCCGGCCTCATGACCCAGGGTGCAAACCCCTCCTGGGCCTGCAGAGCTGCCCTCGAGGACCAGAAAGCCAGGGAGACTCCTGTGTCTGGGGGTGGTTCTTAGGGTCCCCTCTGAGAAACCCATATTCTCACTCCAGGTAGCTCCCTGTGATGGCGGGGTCCGGGGTCTGACAGTACCCTCCTCCCTGGACACCTT